CCCGCCGATCTGGCTAGAGGACTACGGCGCACGCGTGCGCCCCAGAGTGCTCACCGGACACTCCATGATATCGCTTCCAAGTGGACGAATGCTCCTCGCGCCGGAGACACTGGGGACGGGAGGGGGGGGGGGCGGGGTTGGACCGGTAAGACACGGGAGTGCGAGGCCAACTAGGTCGGCGGCTGCCAAGGATTGCGGCCGTGCCGAGGCCGTTGATCTGGCCCCCAGCGACCCTGCATCCTTTTCTCGCTCTCCTTTGTCCGCGCGTCGACGCACTTGGTGGCCTGTGCGGGCGTCTGTTGCTCCATGCGTGGCCGTGTACGCCCTGGGGCACCCTGGGGCTTGCCACGGTGCGCTCGGACACTAGCCGGTCCATTGTCCAACCCCGCCCCTTGCCCAGGCCCCAGCACGGGGAAAACGCCCGTGGCACACTTGTGCCCGTGACGGTTGGCCCCCGGCGGGGCGGATTTCCGATCAGGCCGATGTTGGCGCGCCAGAGCGCCGGAGCCAGGCCGCCGGCATGCCCACGCCCCGTGCCATCAGAACATGCGAGTGTGACGAATCTCCATATCCTATCAGATCTTCCCCGTGCCGCTATCTCCGCGCCCCTTCTGCCGGAAGCCATATCGAAAGAAGGTGCCGCAGTGCTTGTTCACCGCGGCGCCAATGCCCGCGCGCGCGCACACGCGCGCGTGCGCCCCCATCCATCTCCCTCCGCCGAGGCGGCTTGGCCGCCGTCGGCCGAGTTGGCCGGAGGCAAGCGGCAAGCCATGGCCGTGGGAGCGGCTGCCCGGGCGAGGGGGAGGGCAAGGGGGGTGGGGACGGCGAAGAACGGGGGCGGGGGCCGGGGCGCAGGGGGGTAGGGGCGGCCCCGCAGCCGGAGCAACACCCCCGCCCGGGCGCCGATGACGACAACAGCCCCAGCCGTTCCCTGGGGTAGCGCAACGTCCCGGGGCGATGCGGAGCGCACTGTCCCGTGCGCTGACGGGGACGGCGGACTGTATCGGCCATATCGCCGTGTGGCCCCAGGCTCCCTCCGGACCCGAGGTGCAAGCGCGCCGAGTGGATTATGGGGGTGGGGCCGGAGGGGAGGGGGGG